ACCAAACAAACAAACAAAAAAAAAACCCAAGTTGGACTCTGGGGTGTTTCACCATTAGACAGCATGCTGTAATTCATTAGGCAAGACCTGCTGTCCTGTTATCCATTAGAGGTTTTTTAAAAAATTCTTTCCCCATTGTATCGTAATGCCAGTTTCATCAGGAGTTGGGTAACTATATGTTGGGGTTTCCCTACATTTTCTTGTTTGTTTATATTTCGAGACAGGGTTTGTCTGTGTAGTCTTGGCTGTTCTAAAACTCAGTCTGTTCCAGACCAGGCTGGCCTGGAACTCAGAGATCTGCCTGCCTTTGCCTCTCAAGTGCTGAGATCAAAGGCATGTATCACCAGTGCCTGGCTTCCCTATATTTTCTATTCAGTTCCATAAGTTTAGTTGCTCTTAACCATACACCACACCATGTGTCTTCATTATTATAGCTTTGGACTAGGCCTTAAAAGCTTATAGAAAAAAAAGGGGGGTGCACACCTTTAATCTCAGAACTCAAGAGGTAGAGGCAGGAGGATCTATATGAGTTCGAGGCTAGCCTGGTCTACAGAGTAATTTCCAGGGTAGCCAGAGCTAAAGAAACCCTGTCTCAAAAAAAAAAAAAACCCAAAAAAATAAGAAACAAAACAAACAAACAAAAAACAGAACAAAACAAACAAAAAAAGTTCCTTCAACTTTATTCTTTAAGATGGTCTTAACTATTGTTGACATTTTCCATTTTCTTATGAATTTTAAAGTCAGTTTGCCCCCTTTAAAAAATGACCCTCTTCAGATTTATTTTTCCAAATTGAGGCTATTTTTGAATCTAAAAGGTTGGAATCTTTACAACGCTCAAGGGTCTACCTCAAAACTTCTATTCCGCTCAAGGCAGCTGTGAGATGAGAGGTGACCATCACAAGTTCACCCTCCAGGATCCAGGACACAGTGAAGGGTCGTATACATCTATCTGCCAGTGGGTACCGGAAATACATCATATCATATAGCAGTGGACAGCGTACTCAGAGAACACCACCTAGCTGCAGTTTGTGCTGTGTTTACACAACCATGAAATTCCCTAACCTTTCTGAGCCTTACACGTGATTATTTATTCATCTACTGTGATCTTTCCTCCTTGATGTGACCTTAAAGTATTGGCTGCATTCTCCTTCTCAGAAGTACCTCAGCCCTCATGTTACGGTTGACCACAACCCTAGATTAACATATTTTAATCATTTCTATTCTAAAATACATTGAGCTCCACTTGATGGTTACCATCTGTAACAAATTGAGTATCTTTACCACACTCCTAAGCTATAAATGGAATATTGGAAAAAGTGTTGAAATAGCACAGAAGCTCCAATGGGTATTTTCCTTAAAATTTCATGACATACAATACTAAGTCCTCACAATATTTTTCTTGTTTTATTTTCAATATTTTTGTGGTGGTGGTGATCACTCCCTAGCACATGCTAAGGAAGTGCTCTAACACACACACACACACA